TACTGAAGACGAGGAAGATGATGAAGAGGAGGAGAAAGTAAGGTCAAGAGGCGCAAAGAGTTTATGGGTCATCATTTTATGAGGATTGTTGAATGCAAATGTGTGTAGCAAGAAAAGTAGAGCACCGGAAACTGTTAAGGATTTCCATAAGGTAGATAATGATAGGTTTTGAAAGATGTGACTCAATTTGGTTGGTTTGGTGTTGCTACTGTTCTTAAATGCCATTGAGAGAATCAAATTTCACTAAATGAATTGGTAGAAAATGTGTCTGACGACTCCATACATATAGAAAAATAGTAAGTTACTAATGTAGAGGGGAAAAAAAAAAAAAAGAGAGGGGAATGTTGATCATGAGGGCTGATGTGCATAAATCATGTGATTTGGATGTTAAAGCTAGCAGGTGATCATCATTAATTTTAAAGCACTGAAACTTTCTCGTTTTAGAAAAAGAAGATAAAAGAAAAAAAAAAGAAGCCAAAATATGGGATGATGAAACAATTTTCATGCTGCTTCTATGCATAACTGCATGTAAACCATTTCATTTACAATATTACCATACATTTATGAACTTTCTACATCAATCTTGAACCATCTCACTCAGATATGAGATAACACACTTTCTTGTTTCTTTCACTTCAAAACGTTCCCAAGAAGAAACAAAATAAAGGCTCACTATGTTTTGCTTTATATAATCATTTTTTTATTTCTTGAATAATCATCAAGATCCTTAGTAATTATAACTTTTTCAGAAGGTAACGTACAACTTGTAACTTAATTATATAGAAGAATGAAAATTACAACATTAACTAAACATTGCTGCTCTCCAAATTTCATTAGGCGATGAATTCGTCTCTCCTGCAATCTCTAAGTCTTATCTTATGTTTGCAACTTCTGCACCTTCATATTACACGTCGCAACATTCCACTTTTCTCGATCCCCTAAGAACAATAAAACACAATTAATTGAAATTTTTAGTAATGAAATAAAAATCAATGATAACAGTTCTGCTAAAGACACTAAGAATTCTCAAATATAGCAAAATCATTATATTTTATGACTAAAAAACATCCCTTTCTACAAAAAAAAAATAATGATTAGATTTTAAACCCTAATGTGAATATGAGAACAAATCATACTTTTTGGGAAACTTGAATACTAGTCGTAACTCGTTTTGAGATATCTATGAGATAATAAAATAATCTAACCTGTTTGGGAGTTTTGGGAGAGAAGACTCGGATCCATGCGAGAGTATCCGCAGATATATTACCGGATAGGCCGGGAACAAGAAGTCAATGTTTCTAGGAAACTTCCTTGTGTAAGAAGTAACAACTTTTTCATTCTCTTGTTCAAATGAATCGAAGAAGAACCAGTGAGGAGCTTCACATGAATCTCGAGACACTGGTCTCGTGTTAAAACCATGTAAGTCTGGAAGAGCATCCTTCGGAGCCCAAGAGATGGAATGTCTCGATAGGACGCATCAATTGACTAGATTTCATGAATATCTTC